ATTGCTCACCAGCAAGCTTGTAGCGGGCACCCAAGAGTTAGCAAATGGTAGCCAGTTACTCCAAACTCAACTCTCTTTAACAAAAACAAAACCAACCAAACAAAACCCACCCAAACTCTTAGCTGTATAAGGAATCATTCGGATTTATGACCCGTGTTCTGGAAGTGCCAGTAGGTGATGCCATGGCCCCCTGCAGCGTCCCTGGGAGGTGGGCGAAAACGACCATGGTGCGTGAGCACATGTGCACACGTACATGTACTGAGACATGTGGTTGTCCGGCAACAGTCACATGTCACATAGCAATTTGTAACTCAGAACCACAGAGAGGGTTTGTTTTCCTCTTCTGTCTGTTCCAGTTACTTAACTGATGGCAGATGTCCTCATTAAGGGCTATTAGCACATCAGAATATGTTTGCTGAGTCTGGAAAGGGGCTAACCCCTTTTGGACATTGACCAAGATACATATTCTGGAATAGCTACCCCTTCTAGTGGTGACAGTGGGAAGGGTGAGAGGCACAAGAGGGCGCAGGATACCTTTAAAACTATCCATCAGCGGCCGTCCTTCTTAGCAGGAGTTTGTTTCAGTTAAGGAATTCCTTAAGTCAGAAATGTAACATCATAAATTGCATTTGGCTGCATATGGAGACATTGTTATTGTTACCCTGAAATGGATGTTTCTTGATTTCTCTTTGCTGTATCAGAACCATATGGCAAATTAGGGGCTTGCTGGTTTATATGGACCTTTGATCACTCCCAAGAAAGAAACCCAGAGGGAAGTGAATGGAAGTTAGAAATCAGGGAAGAGAAGTTTGAAGGTGGCTCCAGTTAGGTTGATAGAAGCCTGCTAGGAGGGAGGGTGAGACCTTTCATCCCAGGGGTAAAGTAACAGGTGAGACTGAATAGTCACCCTAAGGTCCAGAGTTAACCTCACTCCTCCACCCCCCTGCATGGCCGACCCCTGTAGGTGCTCTGATCTGCTTCTGAGTCCCTGAAGGACTCTGTTATCTGGCGAGTGTGTCCATGAAGTCATCATGATTATGCTGATATGTACAGGAGAGGCATTGAACCCCTCCTGGTGATGCTTCCCAGCCTACATTTAGTCTCAGTTTGTGTTTTTCCCTTCCTTTCTCTCAGTCACTAGTATAAACTTGGCTAAAATCTTGTAACTTTTGAGACTGATTGCATTATTTCTCTGGTCCTGCTCAGAGGGCAAGGTGTGTGTAAAGGTCTTCCCAAACCACTGAATGATTAACAGCGATTTGAACTGTGTAGCAAGGTCAGACTAAAGCATTGACCTCTATTTTGTAGGTAAGAGGCCAGTGGAGAAGAGACCTTCAAGGAAAGAAATTGTATAAGCAAACAAAAGTAGAGGCTTGCAGGATCAGAGCTGTTTTTTGCTATCAAGGTTCACTGATAGAAAAAGGGGAAAAAACATATAAAAAGCAGCTTAATAGAGTGTTTTATTTTGAGAGATCCCACCCCTCCTGGAATAATGGCAGGAATATGACCTCTGACACCAGATACACATGAGATCACCCCGCAGGGCTGCTGGTCCCAGTTGTGTGGCCTCAACAACCTAAGCCCTCTGGCTCAGGTTCCTCATCAGAAATAAAAGACCATATGTTTTCTCAAATTGTTCTGAGGATTAAATTAGATACAATTTGTGAAAGCTAGTGCAGAGTAGGCGCTTAACAAAGGCAGTTTCCCTTCCGTTTTTCTCTTCTGCTTTTAAAAATTAAGATTTGGGTGTACTCTACGTGGATAATATAAAGCATGTTTCAGGGTGGAATTTGGAGAGAGGCCAGAGAAGAGAGCAAACATAAATGGGAACAAACCGGAAGTGGGCAGGTTCACCAATTCTGCAAATCTACCAGGCTTTGGAGGGTGCAGGTTCACAAACCAAATAAAAAGTATTTTTTAAATTAAAGGGAAAAAAAGGCTTATAAAAACAATCGTCAGAGTCTGTTAGCTGAAATATTTCAGGTTCTGTCTGGAGACTGGAAGCCCAGGAATTTTAGAAATACTATTTTTTCTTCATTTTCAGAGGTGGAAACCTCAAACTTCCTGCCGTGGAAAGTGGGGGTGGCCACCATTTTTTTAGTTTTTGTTTTTTTGGCCAAGAAAAGGGTGTTTCTTTTTCTGGATGGATGCTGCCATCTGATGTCTCCAAGTGGCACTGCATCTTCACCTCTAGCTCTTAGCTGCTCAATGGAACTAAATGAGAGCCAGAGGTTCTTGTTTCTGGCTTGAGGCTTTGAGGATGAAGGTAGGTGAATGGGTTTTAAAAACCAAGTTAGCTTGGATGTACTTTTTTTTTGTAGTGATTAAGAATTTACTTTTTATATTTTCTTCCTTTTTATTGTCATAATAAAGCTTTTCAACATTGATGTGAAGTCACAAGACACCTGGACAGGAGCTCTGGAGGGTGCCCTGGCTCCCACCTTTTTCTTACTTTTTTGTGCTTTCAAGGGAATTGGTGGTGGAGCGCCCACGCTCTCTGCCTCCAGCCCTTGAGAGTCTAAGTAAAAGACTTGTAAAAACCCTTTTTCTATCACACTTTACAGGTCGTGAAGAGCTTCTAAGAAATACTCTATGTGCTCTCCTGGGATATTGGCGAGTGTTATGCTTTACTTAGTTTTTAAAATTTTTATAAGAATTTATTTGAGCCACACTGATGACAGTTGCTGGGGAGCAAACTCTCAAATGTCCCCAGCGCTGTGATTTATCAATGAGGAGAGAGGCTCTGAGTGCAGACTGCGTGGCCTGGGGGCAGATCTGTGTTTTCCCCGAATCTTACTGAGCAGGAAGGCTGTGGTCAGTGGAGGGGTTTCTCAAGAATAAGCCTGTTGACTGGTTCAGGTCCCCAGGGGACCCGGAAGATCCGTTTTAGTCTTCTGGAATGGTGTAGCCGCCTGAAGGTCAAGGAGCAGCCCGGGGGCCCGGCTGGCCCAGCCAGCACTGGGGCTCGTTCCGTGTCGTCGTGGTTGGAACCCCCTCTCTCAGGCAGTAGGACTGTGACTAATGAGGCATCAGACCAGGGTTTCTAGTTTTGATCTCCTCCCTAGCTCTTAGCCACTGTAAAATGTGGAGGGTGGTGCTACCCAATTCCCTGCTTCCTGGCGCAGGAATGATGGGCGTACAGACGCCTCAGAGCTCACAGAAATGACTGGTTTGCAGAAGAGCTTCTGTCCATCGTGGAGCGTAAGCGCCGAGGCCGCGGATGGTCTTCCTCTGTTTGTGTCAGGGACGTGGTTGTCGATTCCATCACCCTGAGTGCGTCAGTAGCTGATACCACGTGCTGTTGAAGGAGCATGTGGGCAAGTCCAAGGCAGTGAGGGTTCCTGGATCTGCAGTCAGGAGACCAGGTCTTGTTCACACTCTGGCACCAACTTGATTACAGTGAACGAGTCACTTAAGCTCTCTCTGTGATAGTTTTCTAAAGCATTAGATGAGGAGAGGTAGCACGGCTCGTTCCTGTGGCTCTCAGTAGTTTTAAAGCCAACTGAACTTGAGAATCTGTGAGTACCTGACAAACGTCCTCATGCTTTGACTTAGCAGTAGTCATGTGCTGCATCACAATGGTTAGGTCAGTGATAGACCACAAATATGGCAGTTGCCTCATAAGATTTTAATGGAGCAGAAAAATTCCCGTCACCTAGCGACACTGCAACCGTGGTCACATCGAGGTGCAGTGCACTGCTCACGTGCTTGTGATGCTGGTATAAACAAACCTGCTGCTCTGTCAGATGTATAAAAATGTAGCAGTACAATTAGGTACAGTACATGACCCTTGATAACAATAATAAATGACTATGTTACTGATTTGTGTACTTATCCTTTTTATTGTTATTTCAGAATATGCTCTTTCTACTTATAAAAATGTTTGCTGTAAAACAGTATGCTGGGTTAGTCAGGCAGCAGCCTCATACATGTTGTATTTACCATGTCTCTGTTTTTTTAAGGATTTTGTTTATTTATTTTTAGAGAAAGGAGAATGGGGGGAGAAAGGGAGAGAAACATTGATGTGTGAAAGAAACATCAGTTGGCTGCCTATCACACGCTCCTGACCAGGGACCTGGCCCGCAACCCAGGCATGTGCCCTGACCAGAATTGAACCAGCGACCTTTTGGTTTGCAGGCTGGCGCTCAGTCCAGTGAGCCACACCAGCCAGGGCTGCCGCATCTCTTGACTGCATTGTTTTCTCTCTTCTGCTTGATTTGATGTGTTGTTACATACAGTAATGTGCTGTACAGGCTTGTAGCCTGGGAGCATCAGGCTGTACCACAGAGCCTAGGTGTGTAGTAGCTACGTGTGTAGTTTGTATAAGTGCACTCTGAGGTTTGCATGACGACAAAATTGCCTTATGATGCATTTCTCAGAACGTATCCTCATTGTTAAGCGGTGCACGACTGTATCATATATCAGGACCTGACCTGGTGAGTGTGTGCTGAGCTTTAGCTCAGAGAATGCCACCTGTAGGCAGAGCAGTTCAAACAGCACCATACTGGATACAGCCCTTAGGTGTTACACGGTAATAAAGGATTTCTTAGATCAGCAATGATGCATCTGCCTAAGAAAATACTGTGTGGCTTCTAAAAGGGGTTTTATAGAATAACATTTAATGACATAGGAAAACCTGCATGAGATACGAAGTGAAAACTCAGTTTATCAAACCATGATCCCATTTTTGTAGAAATAGAAGTATGTAGACACATGCGTAAAGGAAAGCATGGAATGATACGTAAGAAAAGCGGGTGCCTCTGGGAGGCCGCTTCTTGAGTGATTTGTTTGTCTTTGTGCTGATCAGTAATTTCTAAATGTCCTGCAAGGAATGGGTATTACTTTTGTAAAAAGGAAAATTGTACAAGTTACTATAAAATGCGTGAGCCATTTTAACAGACACTCCCAGCTCCTGCTGCATGTAGGACACTAGACTAAAGCTTCCTGAGTCTCCCAGGTGATGGCTAAAGGATTCTGTGTCCCCCCCCTTGCCTCCCCAGGAACATCGGCAGCATGGCCAGTGTGCTGTCCCGGCGCCTTGGTAAACGGTCCCTCCTGGGAGCCCGCGTGTTGGGGCCACCTGGGGCTGCCCCGCCTTCGGAGCCTCAGGCAGAGCTGCTGGAGGGGGTGACTCCCCAGCCCTTCTACGCTTCAAAGGACACTTCCTGTCGGGAGCAGCCCAAGGAAGTCCTCAAGGCTCCCGCCTCCTCAGGCCTCCAGCAGGTGGCCTTTCAGCCCGGGCAGAAGGTAGGCTGATCCCTGAGTGGACAGGTGCATGATCTTCCCAGGTTTGGGCCCAGCAGGCTCGTGGTGACCCCAGTGAAAGCCTGGAAACTCCCTGGGTGTTCGCTGGGATGTGTACAGACCCCTAATGTGTGGCATTGTGGGCCCTTGGGCAGCTGGCTTCCTGAGGGAGTGAGTCATGAGCAGCGACCCGGGACTTCTCTGCAGCAGTGAGGTCTGGAGGAAAAGCCCGCAAGGCCCGCCACCTGACTTCTGAGCGTAGGCCTGCTGAAAGCCTCGGTCTCAAGCACTGGCGGAGCTCAGTTTTTCTTAATCTGCCTCACTTTGTAACTCTACAAAACAAAGGATCTCAGGCTTGTGAGAGACAGATAAGATTGTGTCTTTGAATTACCTTTAGAAGTTTTCCAGAGAGGAAGGTGTTCGTTTAGACAGAATATCGTTTGGACTTTCTTTTCCAGTGTTTTTTCCCCTTGAGAAGGGGCCCAGCTATGACCTATACCTGATAGTATCACGGGATCCAGGGGCATGGGCTTCTCTTTCATTGCCTTCTCCACAAATAGACTCGACCTTCTGTCTCCCTGCTGAGGCTTCGTTTTCCACCCCTCGCTTCCCCTACTGCTAAGCAGCCCTTGAGAGAGGTCAGCCTCCCTGTCCCTATGTCCCTAGGTAGTCTCTGAAGGGCAAAGTGCAGGGTGAGCAATTCATGGTGATAGTTGGGAACCAGCAGATACATAGAACTTCAGAGGCAAGGCAGGGCAAGAAATTAGGAGAATGGACACAGATTCCAAATTCATTTTATTAGCGAATTTAATCCATTTACATTTAAAGTAATTATTGATAGGTAAGGATTTACTTTTGTTATTTTGTTAATTATTTCAGATTGTTTTGTAGTTCCTTTGTTCCTCTCTTGTTCTCTTCCTTTGTGACTTGTTGATTTTTTTTTTTTTTGATAGTCATATGCTTTGATTCCTTTCTCTTTTGTGTATCAACTCAAGGTTTTTCCTTTGTGGTTCCTAGAGGCTTACAGAAAACGTCTTATAGTTGTAACAGTCTATTTTAAGATGATAACAGCTTAGCTTCAATTGCATACAGATGCCAAGTTAAGGAAAAAAAAATCTCAGAAACTGACATGTTTGCTTTCTCCATCTGGAGAGATTATAAGGATCTGTTTTGGAAAGAACCTACCCACTGGGTGCCCAGGTACCGGGGAGCATCTGCTCCAACTAAATATGAGTCAGAGAATGCAGTGTGTATCAGGTGGATCCTGGCTCCCAGAGCTTGGGGTATATTACATGGGGTAAGAACTACTAAGTGTTGACCACTGGTTTCTGTTTTTCCCCCAACCTAGGTTTATGTGTGGTATGGAGGTCAAGAGTGCACAGGCCTGGTGGAGCAGCATAGCTGGGCAGAGGATAAAGTGACTGTCTGGCTGCTGGACCAGAAGTTGCAAATCTGCTGCAAAGCGGAGGAGGTGTGGCTGGCTGAGGTGCAGGGCTCCCTGCCCCAGGGGCCCCTCCCGGAGCAGGGGACCCAGGTGCAAGCCTACAGGCCTGTCTCCAGGAACATTGATGTCCCAAAAAGGTGTGTGTGGGAGAACCTGGGCTCTGAAAATCATGTGGGTGGTGAGGTATGATGTTGTGGCGTGTTATGTAATGGGGAAGGAATGTGGGAGTCCTAGGCATCTAGTTGTCAAGATACTGGTCAAACAGGACACACAGGAGAGGGCATCCTTCAGCAAAGCCCAGAATGCTAGCTCTTCTTCCTCATGGCTCTATATGATGAGTGCTATATTTTTGGTTTGGCTAGGGGCTGTTTTTTTTCTCTTCATGCTTAAACTAAAATTAGTAGGTAGTTTTTCCATGATGAGAGTCAGAAAAAAAAAAATGGCTTCGATCAGGAGTCAGCAAACTTGTTCTGCATGGGCCAGATAGAAGTAGTGCAGGCTTTGGGACCAGGGCTGTGTCACAGCGACTCGGCTGCGCTGTGGGAGGAGGGGAAGCAGCCACAGAGGGTAAGGGAACAAGTGGGCGTGGTTGCCCTCCAGTAAAACTTTACTTACGGGACGCTCAGATTTCAACTGTGTAGAATTCTCCTGTGTCACATGTCAAGAAATCATATTCTTCTTTTGACTTTTAAAGCCATTTACAAATTATAAAAACATTCTTAGCTTGGGAGCTATAGAAAAGCAGGCGGCAGACCATGTTTGGTTCACAGCCCTGAGATTGCTCACCCCTGGCTTTGATGTTCAAAACTATTGATTTTTTTAATTTTATTTTTCAGTTACAGTTTCCATTCACTGTTATTTTGTATTAGTGTCAAGTGTAGCACATAGTTGAAAACCATTAATGTTGAATGAAAAGTGTATATCTTGTTTTAGAATCTTATGATATAACTTTCCCCTGAGCCGGGGGAGGGATATATATAGAGATATATATAGAGAGAGAGATATATATCTCTCTCTCTATATATATCTATCTCCTAATTTCTATGTCACATACTCTATATTCTCTATGTTCATTGATCTTTTAAGATTAGAAAAGAAAATCTATCAGTGGAGATTGTTTTGTATACAGGATGTGCAGGTGGTCAAGCCTCGTTCTACCTCTCTCTCAGTTTGTCTGTGGGGTCTATTGCCATGGACGGTACACTCATGTATTGAGACCAGACCAGAGCAACAATATTTGTGATTGTGAATTCAGTGGGATGTTGGCGAAGAACTATTTCATGGAAATAAAAATACAAAGATCATGTAAGAAGAGAGATGATAATGTGTTTAATATATTACTGGTCTTAGGTTAGCTACTTCAAACCCAGTCACGTATTTGGGTGGATCCGAAGAGTAAAGCATGGATTAATACAGCCCTTTGAAATAGATGAGCTACCTAAAAATTTATTTCAGGCTAACTTTTCCTACTTCAGCATTAACTTATAGATGGCTCTAAATTTACTTCCATACAACATAACTTCATATAGATTTTTTAAAAATTACGTGGAAAATTTTATAGACCTCTGCTCTGTGAAGCACTAAGATTTATTTTAGTGTTTCTGCTTTACTTGCGCATTGGATTATGTACATTTTGTATTAGTTTCTGTTGGCAAACAGAATACTTTATCATTTTTCTTAGGGAGGGGAAAGGAATTGTTTAATGTAATTGTTCCCTCTTAAAAAATTTATTGATATTAGAGAGGAAGGGGGAGAGAGAGAGAGAAGTATCAATTTGTTGTTCCACTCACTTATGCATTCATTGGTTGCTTCTTGCCTGTGTCCTGACAGGGATTGGTTCTGCAACCTTAGTGTATTGGGACAATGCTCTAACCAACTGAGCTACCTGGCCAGGGCTGATTGTTCCCTGTTAAATTTAAGTATAAGGCAGAGAGAGGAAGGTAACTTCAATGCTTTTGAATTCCCATGGGCATCTTTTTTGTCCATGCCTTTTTTTATCGCTTTGACTCTTCTTTCTCCCCCCTCCCCCCGCCCCCTCCATCCCAAATATAATTCTCTGTCTTCAGCTGCAGAGTTAGTTAGGAAGTGGATCCAGGGGAGAGGAGGGAGTTGCCTCTGGGTGTCAGCAGTGGGGTGCTGGCCGCCCTGTTTATACTGGGGTTGACCGATACTGTAATTCAGAATGAGTATTTTTCATTAGTGAGGAGAGACCTTCATGCTTTATTTAATATACACACTGGCTGATTGGAACGGGGACGTGGAGAGGACAGCCCAGAACTGTATAACATGACCCCACGACCAGCCATCACAGGAAATAACCTTGGCGTTCGCCTGCTTGAATCCAGGAAGTCCGACGCAGTGGAAATGGACGAGATGATGGCGGCCATGGTGCTGACGTCCCTGTCCTGCAGCCCCGTCGTGCAGAGCCCTCCTGGGGCCGAGGCCAACTTCTCTGGTGAGGAAGAGGGTCCGCGTGGGTTCTGGGTGTGGCAGAGGCTCACAACTGACTTCTCTGCTTTGAGCAGCAAACTGCCCCAGTACTGTCCTGGCACTAGGACTTTGGAGTCCCTTCTCACAGGCATCCCAGCCTGGCTGAGTGACATTGAGTTAGATGCTTCCATTCTTTTTCCTCAGTTTCCTCCTCTGGGGAGAAGTCTCCTGGTGCGTTGTGAAGATGATTGAGCACGGGCTGAGCCACACTGGCCACTTGAGTAAGTTCTTCTATGGGAGTAAGTGAGTGAGGCACTTTGGTGGGAGCCTGAACAAGGCCAATAGAGGAATATTTAGTTCACAAAGGTAGAAACTTACTAAATGGTCCCCTAGTGGCCTCAGAAGATTCATGCCCCTGTTCCAAGTGCCTAATTCAGCCTTGTAAATGAGCGTGGGCCTCCAGGTCCAGGACCTGGAATAAACAAGCTGAAATCTAAAGTGAATCTTATTGCAAAATAACAAAAAATAAATAAGTCTAATTGCTTAATACAAACTGATAGTATGACTTCGTAGCAAATTTACAAATTAAAGGAAAATTCTTTGAGTGCGACCCCCAAAATACATTACCAGTAATGTGGGAGGAAGACGGGTTGCTGGATATTGGTAGTTTGACAAGACTGGTAGTGAATGTGATGGGGTCTTTTTTTGAAATTCGTTATAGGGCTGGCCTAACTTACTCCCAGGGAATAACTTTTTCATTGGTGAGGTCGAACGGAATTCGTAGGAGAATATGGAGTCAGAAGGAAAGTGGCCTTTCCAGGTATCCTTCATAAGTAATCTTTCTAGATAGCATGTAAATTCAAAGGAGTGATGGAGCAAATTCACTTGCTTCACCCAAAGCCCGTCATCTGTGGTGAGTCTGCTGGAGTTAGTCGTTGGGTCTGATCGCACCTTGTGGGGGAGCGTGGGTTGCGTACCTGTTCTGCTAGCGCTTGGGAGCTACACAAACTAAATGGGCAAATAAGGAGTCAATTTTAGGTTCTCAGGAAATTCCACATGTTTAGGAGACCCAAGAGGTTGGTCAACAGGCGGAATATCCAGAAAAGTGTCAGAAAAGGAAAGAAAAATCATTGACTCCAACTTCTATCAGCTTGTGCATGTATATGTGTGTGTAGAATCCATACATACATGTTCACCCCCACACACTTCAACACCAACATATGTACATCGAATAATATGCCCTGATCCTGATATCTGAAGTCCCTTTTGCACAAAAAATTTTTTAATAGTTTATTAAAAATTTTTTCCAGTAACTTCAGCTCTTGTGGGTGAAATCAGTGGAAAAATAAGGCTTCCTTGGCAGATAAAGATGTTGAAGTGTTCTGCCAGATGAGGTCTGTACAGTAACCAAACCTTGCTCTAATCATGGCTGCTATTTGCACAGAAGCCACTATTCGCCTTGCTGTCTGTAATGTTAGGATGGTTCTGCGCGTGCATGTATATGGAAAACAGAGGGAATTAAAGTATTTCTTTGAGGTTCTCTGTAAGCTGTCATTGCTATGTGTTTGGAGAGGAGCCCTTTGCCTTCATGGTATAGAGTATCCACTACCCTGCCCTAGATGATTGTATGATCTAAGGTAGAGTAATTTATGTTCATCCTGTAACTTACAGATTAATTTAAGATATTAACTTTTTTGCTTCTTAAAATATTTTTCTTTCTTTCTGTGCCAGTCTGCCAGCTTCAGCAGTTGAGCCATTTGAATGGTGCCCTGTGGAAGGTTGCTGGGTTGTGTGGTTTCCCTGCATGTGACCTGCCCTGTTTCTCCGGAGCCCTGATCATCTTGGCCGTAGCGTTCTGCTTCTTTGCCCTTCTCTTCCCGAGTGGATGTGTGTGGCCCCTGACCTGTCGGGCTGTTGGTGGCTCCTGAGTTCTTTCCTGAAGGGCTGTCCTGTTTTGTAAGCCTCATGTGTAGGTGTCCTAAACTCCAGGTTTCCAGAAAGTCACAGCTTTTGAGACTTGACAGTGATTTTAGGGAGGGAAGAGTTCATCCTTCCCATTCTGTTTGGGTGGGCTTCTCCTAGCGTGTGAGATGTAACCTAGGAGCGCCTGCATTGGCAATGTGCAACATGGGATGCTGGGAGTCTGTCCTAGGCGTCTAGATTAGCTGAGAAGCAGTTTGGATATGGAGCAGGATGGGAGAAAATCAGTAGGATTGTTATCCCGGCCACAAAGGAGGTGTTAGTCAATCTCAGAATGCAGGTTGCTCAGGAGGCTGCACGGATTGCCCGCCCATGCTGGGAGCTGGGGACATGGCCTCCGTACCTGCACATGGCACACTTATCCCCCCCTTCTCTTGCTATTTTCAGTGTATAAGAGTTTCAGATTCCCTTGTACTATAAATGAACCAGGATGTATGGTCTAGGCACGGAAGAGTCTGGGTTGGGCCTAAAGCAGCCTGAAAACAGGCACTTTTATTTATTTATTTATTTATTTATTTATTTATTTATATTGATTTGAGAGAGAAACATCGATTTGTTTTTCCACTTATATGTTCATTGGTTGATTCTTGTATGTGCCCTGACCAGGGATCAAATCCACAACCTTGGTGTATTGGGATGATGCTCTAGCCAACTGAGCTACTCAGCCAGGCCCAGAAGACAGGCAGTTCAAAAACCAAACATTTCATGTCTCACTGTGATCTTCCTGTTCAGTCGCACTGCTGAAAACAGGCAGCACTTTCAGGGCCATGTTGGGCCTGAGGGCCCCGGTCATCTATTATTGGTCTGAATTGCTCTCAGAGCTTATCGTTCCTTCTCTAAATGTATTACTTGTGGGTAAAAGCGGGAGCCATCTGGGCTGAAGCTGCCTCTGGTCAATGTTACCGTCCCAGTGGCTGTAAGAGCTGGCGGAATGGTTTCTCCTCGCACGCAGGTTTTGATGGGCTTGCCTGGGTTGAAATGATCAAAAGGCATTGCTCAAGAAAGCCTGGTCCACAAGCCGTTCACTTGTCCTCCGCCTCCTACTCCGCCGCAGGGAAGAGTGCCCGTGCGGCCCGCCGCCTGTGACCGAGCCTGCTCGCCCCGTGGGGTCTGCAGGCTTTCTCCCTCTCTGCTCTCCCCCTGATTTTTATTTTTTTAAACATATGAAGTGAGAAACATGGTCCAGTTAGGTTCTCTCTCAATAATATGCACGCTGAAGTTTCAGTGATGGGCAGTGATTGTCAGCGTGGTTGTGGCAGCCACTGTCCACCGGAGCAGGGCAGGGCTGCCCTGAGAGATTGCTGCGATGGAGCGACCCGCTCCTAGTTTCTACTGAAGCCCAGAAAAGGGCGGTTTGGGTTTTTTTCCTCTGAGGTGGCGCAGCCAGGCAGAGCCAGAGCCAGGAGTCGGATTCAGGAGCTCACGCTCCACTCAAGAACCCACTGACCTGGCCTGTCCGTGTGGAACCTGGTGTAGACAGGGCCGTGCCAGAAGCTCTGTCTGGGGACAGGCCCATGAGCGTCCTCTGCCTTCTCTTTGGCCAGCTTCCCGCGCAGCCTGTGACCCGTGGAAGGAGAGCGGCGATGTGTCCGACAGCGGCAGCAGCACCACCAGCGGACACTGGAGCGCGAGCAGTGGCGTTTCCACCCCCTCGCCCCCCCACCCCCAGGCCAGCCCCAAGTATCTGGGGGATGCCTTTGGTTCTCCCCAAACTGATAATGGATTTGAAACTGATCCGGATGCTTTCCTCTTGGACGAACCAGCTCCACGTAAAAGAAAGGTGCGTTGCTGATGGGAGTGTGAGCTCAGGCTGCTGGAGAAAGAGAGGGAGAGAAACATCAGTGCATGAGAGATACGCTGATTGGTTCCCTCTTGCACACCCCCAACTGGGGATCTGACCACGTGGGGCCCCACAGGTCCCAGGTGTGCTCAGGCTCCTTCCCATTTCAGTTTTCCTTTGCTGCTCCTGGTCCCTCGTGGTGTTCCCAGGAGCTCTCTGTACTGCCAGTTTCCTTTCCCCTCTGCTTCAGTTCCTGCCTTCTCTGCTGCACTTCTGAGGCTTGTGCTTGGGGGACCTTCGCTGGCATCTGACCCACCGCACCAAGCCCTGCTGCTGGCTGCCAGGCCCAGCTCTTGGGTCTAGCTCTCTGCCCCTGCCTGCTGGTTTCTTTGGCCCCAGAAAGCCCTTTGTTGGGTTCTGTTTGAAGGCGACTGAAGTCCCCCGAGGTGAGGATGAGAGGGGGATGCGGGGGGGAAGCATATCCCAATGACCCTGTCTTCCTCCCCCTAGAACTCCGTGAAGGTGATGTACAAGTGCCTGTGGCCAAACTGTGGCAAAGTTCTGCGCTCCATTGTGGGCATCAAGCGACACGTGAAAGCCCTCCACCTGGGGTAGGTATGGAGCCTGGGCCTCTTAGCCTAGGATACTTTTCAGGTCTCCTCTACCCCGCGGGTCCCCTGTGCCCTGCAGCCCAGAATGCTTCCAAGAAAATGACTTGCTGAGAGTGCCACCTGGTCCCTGTCCCTGGACCTTGTGCCCAGCAAAATAGCCATGTTGGAGAGCTCTTTGCTGAGAAGGAAGGACCCTCCTATTGTATGTTGCTGCTCTTCATGGGAAGGGGGCACCATCCATCTTGGAGATGTGTCATCTTGCCTCACTGTAGGATGCGAGATGTTTTAGTTCTGGGTGGAAATAGGGTAATTTGGTGAGACCCCATTGCAAGGCCCATGCCTGCTTCCCTCGGGGACCTGGGACTTCGTTAACCCACCACCCTGGAGCCAGGGCTGCTCTCGGCAGAGGAGCTGGCCCATGGCCCTTTTCCCTTGGGGACATAAAGCAACCACAAGTCGTGGGGTCCAGACAGGGCCTGTGGCAGGGCGCCGAGTCTGACGACTCCTGCAGGGAGGGAGGTTAGGACACACTCGGTGGCAGGACAAGCCCCAGGTGCCAGGAGGAACAGTCCCACTGGTGTGTGAGCATGTCCTGGCCTGTGATACCCAGACTCCTGGGGTTCTCTTGGGCTGCTTCCCTGACTCACTGGGGGGCCCTGAGCCAACACCGCCTGCTGCACCTCTGTTTCCCCTGTGTTCGAAATGAGGCAGCTTGTCCCTGAGCACCACCGTCTCTCCCTCCCACACAGAGACACTCTGGACTCCGACCAGTTCAAGCGGGAAGAGGATTTCTACTACACAGAAGTGCAGATGAAGGAGGAAGCTGCTGTTGCTGCTGCTGGCACCCCTGCCGCTGACTCAGCCCCTGCCCCCAGTGTGACCAGCCCGCCCCTTGCCATCCTTCCACCTCCTCCTCCCAAAGCCCAGACCTCAGGCCCAGAACACCCTGGCCTGGAATCTTACCTGCCCTCTGGTGCTCTCAGCAAGTCAGCTCCCGGCTCCTTCTGGCACATTCAGGCCGACCATGCTTACCAGGTACGGGGCTGGGGCATGCTGGGAGCTCAGCCTTGTGGCCGTGAGGACGTTCCGTGTCTGACGTGTCACCTGATCACAGGCCACTGACCACCCTGATCAAAGCCTGAGCCCTGTAGCTAAATGGCTCATCTCTAACTTCTGCAAAGAAGACGACGAAAATAACTCACACTCACTAAATGTGGGCATTTCCAAGTTCTTCACCAGTGGTTGTGAGGAGTGATTACTAGAAATCTGGTTGACTCTCTGAGTAACCAGGGTGATGGATTTGAACTGAGGAACTGTTATATCTCTGGCTGTAAAAGGGGATGGAGTAGTGTAATCGGGCTTCCCAGAACAAATCCCTAATTCCTAGAAGTGTGTTACATTAACAAATAATCCAGCACCTAATTTTTTGAATTCCTACTATGTGTCAGGCTAAGCTATTCAGATAGACTAAGGCATTGTCCCTGACCTTGTGAAAGTCACGGTTTAGCTGGAAAGAAAAATGAATATTATATATCTGTGATTATTTATAATTGTTGATGTACCTTACTAGAGACACAAGACATTGTTGTGGGAACAGGAAAGACCAAGCTATTAGCCCACGGGGTTGGGGAAGTGGTCATGAAGCGGGAGACAGTCAGGATGGTCCTCACTGCATGTAGTAGGTATTCAGTGGACGCACAGTTTACTATATGCCAGTTTTTCATAAAATGCTTTTTTCCCCACAGCTTGGTTTGATTAGAGTCCAGGCTGATTTGCACGTTAGTAATAAAAGAAAAAGCAGTGCTTTCAGTCAGAAAACCTTTACAAAATGAGCCAACTCTCCTTGTTAGAATGAGCGGCCACTGAACTATTTCATGTTTGACCAACTTCAGGTGGCCCTTCAGGCAGCTGACTGCCCCTGGAGAATGTGGCTGGTGTTTTCATAAACAAGCCTAACCCTGGATATCCAGGAGCTTGTTGCTAATTCCAAGGGGTTGCTGGGAACGCCTTGTCTCTAATGCAGCAACCCCGCCCATGGCCCAGAAGGCTTTTGGATGTCTTCGGGGAACTGCCGATGGCATGTTCCTGGTAGGTGATCCAGCCAAGAAGTTAATCTGCTGCGATGGTTGTGTTGTGAGGCTGGCGTGTACACCAGGCCCGAGAGGGGCTCCTGAGGAGGGTGGGTGCCCAGGACTAAGGAGACAACTTCAAAGAGTCGGTTCCTCTGATGTTTCTCTTTGGAAGAGCCTTCCGGTGTATCCCAGGACTTCCCAGCCAGTGACCTGCTGCCATTGTGAAGTTACAGGGAGGATGGGTGGGCTCGAAAGCCGGGCCAAGGCTGACGCTGTCTCCTCTCGGCAGGCCCTGCCGTCCTTTCAGATCCCCGTCTCGCCACACATCTACACCAGTATTAGCTGGGCCGCCGCCCCCTCCACCACCTCCTCCCTGTCTCCGGTGAGTGTGCCCGGGTGGGGGAGGGTGCTTGAAGAACCAGATCATGTGAGTTTATTGCCAAGAAAATCACGGGGCGAGGCCAGGGCCAGGGCCCTCTTTAGCCCTGAATGTCTGTGGATGCTTGTTAAGAGGAGAGGATGGGCAAGAAAGAAGGTAGGAGCTTGTGGGGGGCCACGCTGGGTGAATCAGAAATCTCGAGGCCACCATGGACCACTGCTTAGGTACCTTGCTGCTGAACTAAAATAAATTGGAAGTCATTTGAACCACACATAGTGGGTTTTAAAATATCTCCTGTGGGCGAGGGTCATGCATTGTAAAGCCTAAGTGCCCCAGGGTGCCAGGGAGGCAGTGCAGTCCCTTGGTTTGTGGCACATGTGGTGCCTGCATCTAAATCTGCAGGGCGCAGTCCCTGTAGCGGCCAGGTCAAGTGACTCCCTGGCCCGCCTGTGGCCCTCCTTGATCCTGAGGGTGACTTAAAGGCTTGCCCCTCACCCTCCAGCCTCCCCTCTCTACCTGGCCCTGGTCATCTCTGCCTGGATTATCCTTCCAGAAAAGGCCCCTTGGCCTCTTGGTATGAGGAGGGGCTCCGCAGCTGTGGCCGCCTGCCCCGAGGGATGTTCACTTGCCTGCGCTTACAGCCCCTCTCCCTGTGCATGCCCAGGTCCGGAGCCGGTCACTAAGCTTCAGCGAGCCCCAGCAGCCAGCACCTGCCGTGAAATCTCACCTGATTGTCACTTCTCCACCCCGGGCCCAGAGCAGCACCAGGTGAGACTGTCTGCCCCCATAGCCTCCCTCTGGCTTCCGTCCACATTTTCTTCACTGCGAGTGTGGACTCTGAGTCTGGTTAGTCCAGGGAACTGGGGAGGGGCAGGGGTGAGCCCAGCTGTTGGCCGCACTGGGTGCTGGGGAGACTCCCTGTCCTCTGGCCCCATTGGTTCCTGCCCCTTCCAACCTCTGCTCGTTTGCTCAGCATCACACCTGGCCACTCTGCAAGTCTAACCACCGCATGTCACTGTACCTGCATTACTCTCTCGGCAGGAAGGCCCGTGGGGAGGCTAAGAAGTGCCGCAAAGTGTACGGCATCGAGCACCGGGACCAGTGGTGCACAGCCTGCCGCTGGAAGAAGGCCTGCCAGCGCTTCCTGGACTGAACCTGTCCAACCGGCCCCTCCTCTGTGCTCCTGGCCCTGGTGGCGGCCAGGTGACAAAAGGCAGACCTGTGAGCCCTCAGCAGACACCTACAGATAACGAGTGGACACTGGGAGTTTGAGCTCTGTTGGCTGAGGTTTAATACTTAGAACCTTTTCTCCTCCCTCATGGGAACATTTTATTTTTTTAAAAAAAGAAATGAACATATTTTTCCCCCCTCTAATAGGAGAGAGCCAAAACTGACCAAGGGTATTCTGCAGCGAACTGGAGACCAAAGAATTAATTAGCCTCTCTTCCCCATATCCCCTCCCTCCAGGGGATTTAGTTTGTAAGCCTCAAAAGAAGGAACAGCTCATTCTGTTTCCTGCTGAGCTGGTGAATTCTTTGCTTTCTCAACTTGTCCAGAAGGGACTGTGAGCAAGAGGAATTTACTTTTCTTTAAAAAAAAAAGTTTCTGGCCAGTGACTCAGAGAGCAGGACCTGCCTGGTTGGGGTGGGGAGAGTCGGGGTATCTGGGCGCTTTTGCAGTTGGCCCTCTTCTCCCCCGAGTCCTGGAGAATGGAAGGCTTGTTCTCACCATTTGAACCTGGGTCCCCTCAGACACTGAGTGGCATCCCAACACACACACGGCTTCTTCTCAAAGTCCAGACTAAGAGGTTTTTAAAGACTGTCCCCAAATAGCTGAGCCAAAAGGCTAATATGAATTCACTTTTTGAAACGCAGCAGTAAAACACTACCTTGATCTTCTTTCCTCTTTTCTGGAGGGGAAAAACGAGAGGGTTTTAGCAGCTGTGGAAGCTCTCTCCTGTTATCCGAGGCATGGAAATGGCACCTCTACAACACTTTGTTTTCTTTTTGTATGGTGTATTTGGAAGCCTTTAGCTGATTAAAGTTCCCTTTTATTTGGGTGGTAGGTTCTGCTTTGTCTCTGGTTTCACTGGGATTTCCCCATTTCCCTCCCAAGGCTGCAGGCAGGGCTGGTGGGGAAGGAGACAGACAGCAGGGATAGGTAGGTAAGTGGCAGCTTGCCCCCACTGGTACAGAAGGAGCTGACAGGTCCCTCATTGTTTGATGGGCTCACTGCCCCTTTGGGAGCATTAAGATCTTCTTTGGTCTCTTCGGTCAACGCAAAGCCCCTTTGAGGCTTCTGGACTTTTGCATAGTTTTGGTCCAGTCCAGGTGATGAGGTGGGTCACTTTGATGCATGCAGCCTTCCCAGACACCTGCTGGACACCTCCTTGCCTGAAGGCAGGGTGAAGGAGGTTTGCGGGAGAGCTGAGGAAATAGAGTGAGGGGGCCTGGGGCTGCAGTCACAGCTCCTAGCGCTTCAGCCCCTGGTGTTCGGGAGCCTGGCCTGCATTGCTCCGGGGCTTACTGTGCACAGAGAGCATGTGTTTATTTTGGAACCTTGTGGGTAACCGTGGGGATTCTTTGGGGCCTGCGTGACCTGAACCACCGGTACCCAGCTGCCTGGGACCTATGTTCTCAACGTCAGGGGTTCGGGGAGCCCCACCAAGCCACCTCCCTGGGGAGTGAACAGCGGCACCCACCCCTTGGCTCTAGTTGAGGGCCAGGTGGAAATACCTGGCTATTTGAAGCATATGCCTTTCAGTCTGAGACAGGTGGGGTGTTAGAAAACTTGCCCACCTACGAATAGGGGTGTGATTTTGTGAAGGGTGATGGGGACCTGGGTGCGGTGACAGAAGGGAAAGACAGTTCTGCACAGGTGTCTTGGGTGGTGATGGAGTACATTTTTATACCTTAATGAAAAATTATATGTGGAATCTGTCCCTTGGTAAAGCTCAAAACCAGGCCAGCAGGAGGTGGCCCAGAGCTCTTCTTCCTGTCCCTTCAGCCCCTCTGAGAATTAAAAGCCAATAGTGGGTTGTTTCTTGTCCTGACCCGACTCACCTTCCACACTGCCCATTTTCAGCTCTTCTTGGGGAGGGGAGGGGGTGTTTGAGACACGGGGACTCTGCCCGGCGGTATCTTCCCTTCCCTTCCCTTCTTAATCAGAGCTCTTGCTGAGTCTTGTCTTTAGAAAAGCTGTTTTTATTTTCTCTCTCAGTTCGGATCGTGTAGATGTAACTGGATATAAAGATTTTCACTAAGGGAGGTAGGTTGCTCATGTCATTGATACATAAGACAGAGAAGGAAGAGAGAAGGAAGAAATTGATCAAAGAATTGAAAAACTGAGGTGGTTTTATTATTATTTTTTTTAATGTCTTGTTTTGGTGCAGCTTCCCCCGTGCGCATTTGTTCCGCTCTTATTTTTGGTGGTGGTGGCCTCCCTGGCGTCCCTCCCCCCTCACCTCCGCCTCGTGGCTGTTGTGTTGGTTCTTGACATGTGGTCTGTCCATGGGGTTACCCCGTTTGTTTCCTCTCGGAGGGTGGGGGTGGTTTGTGAACTGATCCAGCGATCATGCCTGTTGTTTTCATCTGTTTCTCTCTCCCTATTTCCCAGCCCACCTGGGCAGCAGAACCTGACAGCAGGTAAGATGCCCATTTGAAACTGATAGGACTGATTGTCAAAAGCAGTTGTCTTGGGAAACTTTATTCTGGTGATAGTGCCCTCATTCAACATATTTCTTGGGATGGCCTTGGGAGTCTGTGCTGCCTGCTCGGTCCAGCTTCAGTGATGCTACGTCTGCACCCAGGCTTAGGGCAGAGCAAGATCCCGAATGTCTGTGGTCCGGCGAGGTCACAGATGCAAAGCACAGGGACTGCCTAGTGGGTGAAAGGGCTTGGTGGAGAAAGCAGTCCTGTGATTTCAGAGAGCCTTCTGAGCAGCGTCCCCGTTGTGACAGTGAGCTTATGTAGCTTGGCTCTTTGAAGGACACTATTAATTTGGATTAGGAAACTCTGATTTCTGATTTGATGAAATCTGACCTGTTACTTTCTGGTCCTCTCAGGTTCTGACTTTACCAGGGGCAAAAAAAAAAAAAGAGAGAGAGAGAGCGAGAGCGAGTGAGAGAGAGGGAGGGAGAGAAATCCCAAATCCCATCTGTGAATTTGTCTTATTGGCGCCTTTTCCCCCAGCTGTCTTCCAAGTATTATTTTTACTGTTAAAAAGTTTTTTTTTTAAATGTGAAATGTAATGTTTTTACAACAACAATATGAAATATATTTTATAAGGAATAAAATGGTACCTTGTCTGATTTAATGTGTGCCTGTCCCTCTGCGTCCTCCCCCTGAAAAGGATAAGATTGTCATCGTCTTTGGTATTAAACCAACGATAGCATGTCATCTGGTGAACAAAGCGCACACAGTCGTTTGCTTATAACAATTGGTAACATGAGGGACCAGGCCAAGTACTTGCACGGATTACCTCAATAACCCTGCAAAGCAATTACTGTCATTATCCCCACTTTACAGATGAAGAGAGTGAGGACAGAGATTCAGTAATACTCCAAAGGTCATACACTGGGGAGTAAGGGCACTGGGATTGTAATCCAGGCAGTAGTAACTGTTTTCTGTACTGCTTGTATTCACCATGGGAAGCACGTTCTTGGCCATGTTCCTGAGTCTGTTGGTGAGTTAGTAAGTGACTTAGGAGAAAATAAGTCACACTCTATTTATGGAACAAGTTCTGACCCTAGAGAACAACATGGGCCACTCCCTGAATTCATCGATTCATGTACAGTGGTGGCCCAAATGGCCAGCTCAAGCTGGCCTTGGTGGGGAGGGTGCTGGGAGCAGAAAGCTCTGGGACCCCTGCAGCACTGGGGCCCTGAGGAGCAGCGCGTTCTAGGGACCCTGAACAGGGCCTGACGGTGAGGGTGATCCGCTCTGAGAAGACCCAGGAACTTGATTCTGGTTGGTCAAGCCCAGAAGCCCTTGACGCTGGTGTGGTAGGTTGCCCTACAACCTTTTTCCTTACCTTGGGATGGGGCAGAGGACTTTTTTCCACCTTCCCTTTGTCCCTGCCTACCCCATCTCTCGAAACAAGACCCAGTTAGAATCTGCCGCTTCACTGCTGCTTGCCCAAGCCCCCGCGATCAGTCCCCTGCCTTTGAGCTGGACATTCTTCATCTGCAGCGCGGGGCCCTGCTGGGCTCACCGCGATGGCTGCCTCTGTGGACCTCCTAACTTTCTGGTTTCTGGTTGGCCAACAGAAGACACCAGGCTGGAGTGTGAGGGGCGAAGGGGAGAAGAGTTGGGCTGCTGCCTCTCGTGGCCCTTCCTGCACAGTGTGAACGGCCGTGCTTCCCTCCTGAGAGCTCCAGCTCAGGGGTTCCACTAACTCCCTCCCTGGGCTCTGCGCCTCCTCAACAGGGCGCCTCCTCCTCCCTTATGTGGCAGACATTTGTCCTCAGTCCGTCTGAGTGCACCAGATGTCTGGACTCTTGACAGCACCTTGACATGTTTCATGTTAAACTGGAGAAAAAAATGACACCAGCAGGTTCATTGAAGCTCTGCCCCTTCCTTGCCTCTCATCTGAGGCCAGTGGTCCCAGAGCAGCAGGACCTGCATCTCTCAGAACTTGTTAAAAATGCACCTCTTTACTGAGTCAGAAGCAGGGCGCCGGACCCAACAACTTGCCTGTTGGTGACGTTGAGGTGCGAAGGGAGTTTCTGAGAACCTCGGCCCCTCTGTCCCGCCCGTCCATCCACCCACTTGCATCTGGGACGTGGCACGGTCGGGTGTTTATGCTCACATATCTTGCCTGTCACACTTTACATAAAGCAGAGCCATGTGCTTTATGCCTCTGCCTCCCAAGAGAGGCAGTTCTGATGGGAGTGTTTGGAGTCTGTGCTTCTCAGTGACTTCACTTAAAAACAGCCAACCAATTTATTAACCATTTGCTCAATAGAAGTTTAATGGAGAAATATCTGTTTAAAACAATCAGTCAAAAAGAACAACTCTTTTACAAACAAGTTATGGCAGTGACAAGTCAAAACCCCAGGCTTGATGTCCTGTTCCTTTGACCCACCCCTAGAAGTGGGAAGAGGTGGATGAGAAGGAAAGATGGGGCCATTACAATGTTTGCTGGAGGAATTACAAAAATACACTCTGATGTAGCAACTGGGTTGTCATGAAACATGCCATGGGGGCGGGCGAAGGGGGAGAGAAGACAACCAGACAGGGAGATTCTGCGCCCTGGGGGTGGAGACCTCGGGGCAAAGCCTGGCTCAGTGCCGTGGGAAGGAAGGGATCCGGATGCCCAGCCGGCAGGTCTGGGGCTGGAGACATGCTGTTTTGGGGATCACCCGGACACCTGGGGAGACAGAAATGATGATAATGGCAAACCAGATCGTTTTACTAGCCCTTCAGTCCTATCCGCCCTAGTGACTGAGTAATGCAAAGGAGGCAAAGAAAAGCTACCTATCGAATAACCAATCCCTAAAGCAGCAAGAGGGGTTCCCTAACTCCCTCTACACACCGTATATATATGTATAACTCCCTCTAACACCATATATATATGATCTATATATAGATATTAGACCTATGTAATACATAGACCTATTATGTAGTAGACGGTTATACCCCTGGTATAACAGAATAAAGGGGAGGCATATGGGTTGGGACTTGGAAGGCACAGGATAGATGCCCTGCCCAGAAACAGCTCTCTTATCCATGGTGCTCTGTGGAACCCATGTGTAGTAATTTATTTCTTGAGGCTAAGTTATATTCTCATTCATGGTTCTCTTAATTATACCCTCATTTACGGTGCTCTTGAAGCCTGATTTACCTAATTCCTCACCATGAAGGAACACGCTCACTTGCCGCTGTCTAAGAGGATCGACGCCTCAGGGTGGCAGACAGTATAGGGGCAGGTCAGGGATGGTTGATGCCCAAACTGGTTGTGTCTTTCCCATCGTTCTGCCTAGGACTGGCCCTGCACCCCAATGGCCCTCCTTCCTAACTCATTATTACACTTTCTCATCAGGGGTCTTTAGGGTCTTCAGCCCGTTCCAGTGTTAGACGGAGCGGTTTCCTCCAGCCTTATCAGTATAGGTTGTCACTGGCAACTGGAGTCCCCAAGGTGGAGAAATCTCAAGCGTGTGTAGGTCTAGTTGGGGTGTGTTAAGTGAAGAGAGGCAAGGTTTAAGCTGCCTGTGAAGGACTCGTAAATACACATCCATCTTGGAACTCAGCAACCATGAATGTGTGGAAAAAGAAATAGAGAGGCAGTTGCAGAAGGGGAAAGAGAACAATCAATAAAACCCAAATGAGCTGGTTAATGTTTCTAGTGTTCCCATCAAGAAGTTTACCTCCTGAGCAAAGCAGTGGACAGAAGCTAGTTACCAGTTTTGTTTCAGCGCCTCTCAGCTGGAAGCTTAATAGAAAATGAGAAAAACCAATTGCCCGAATAGGGGCTCAAATAGTTATTTTTTTTTAAATAATAAATTGATTCCTGCTAATGTGACTGATTTTAAACTGTCTTTTGGTAAAGAGATGGTTGTACTTTAGAATTAGACAGGAGCTTTAGTGTCTCTTAAGAGCCACTTCACAGAAGAATGTCTTTAAGATTTGAAAGAATTCACTCTGTGCTACTTCTAAAGGATTTACTGTTACATACTGCGCAGATATGGCTTAGAAAGAAATAGAATGCTTGTTAAGGACCCAAGAGTGACTTCAAAAACAGTGTAGGTTAATTCAGGACCTTCAGAGATTAGTTATTCTGCTAAAATAAACACAGCGGCCTTCTCACAACCTAAGACGTGTATCCATATTTGGTCATGGGCCTCTGGCAAACAAACTGGCTTACCTGCAAAGAGCTGAGTGGGCTGCCTCCCTGCAGAAGCGTAAGTGCCAATGATTAACACAAGTACTAATATACTTTGAAGGAAGATTATTAATGATCTGGCTACCTTTAACATCACAAAATAAAGCAGCACATGCAGGCCTTTTCTTTTATGCCCCAGAGTCAGGGTAAAGCCCCACTTGGGTAATGTTTTGGAAATGTTTTTGACCAATGATTAGTTCTTTCTGTTAGGGCATGTTTCTTGACTGTTTAAATAGAAGTGTGAGACTCTATAGGGAGTCGTATGCCCACATGTGAATTAAGGCACAGGGGCTTAATGGATTTTCTGAGATGTTCAGGAAGTTCCACTATGCTAGTTCTCTGTGCCACTCAGCATTATGCATAGGTTGATGGGCTGAGGAAAGTTGAATTTGTAATGACTGGGCAATAAATTCGGGTCTTTGATGGTTTTTTATGTGACATGTAAATATTATAGGTACATGTATAAGCATGTCTGTGGGAGTAAGAACAGACCAGAAGGGAGAAAGGAATAAGGGCAAGCACACAAACCAACAAAAACAAACCAAAAATGGCTCTGAAAAGAAGCGAAAAGTCAGGAAAGATGATGATCCCCTAGTCCCTATTCTAAGAGCTGCTGGATCAGTTGGGCCAAATTCCCAAAGCTCAGTGGCGATGCCGCCAACCACAAAGATTCAAGCCATGGGGCCAGGTGGTGGGATGGGCACATGATGAGTGGAATAACGAAGGAAGAAAATCTAGCTCCTGGTCCCAACAAGAACTCCTTGACTGGGGGAGAGGGGGAAAGTTTCATGGTTTCCATGGAATCCAGTCACTGTGGGATATAGTGGGGGAGAGGAAGGGGATAGCTAAGCTGTTTTTGAAGGTGAAACAGCACTATCACAGCCACCAAAATCAGACTCTTTGCTAATGGCTAAGGGTAGGTCCAGCTATTGGGTCTTAGAGATAAAATCTTAGAGGGAAGGTGAGCTGAACTGTTGCCATGGCAACTGAATAGGAGGATTGGTCCACTTAACTGTCCCCATAGTAACTAAGCTCCTGGAGAGCTACAGAGGAATTAGTTATCTTAACCTACTACTGTTATCCCCATGGTAACCAGTCTCTAAATGGCAGTAGTAAGCCTTAAGGAGCAATCCTAAAAAAATCTTTGCTCCCTAGAAAAGGCATGCGCGGGAGGCAGGGGGATGAATTTACCTCCCTCCTAGGCCTCCCAGGAGCTGAGTACCTTGCGGAGTGGGGTGTGTGCGTTTGTGGGCTAATGTGCTAAGACAGATACAGGAGGTTTCTTCTTGCCCCCAGCTCATTCCTGCCCAACTCACTCATGGGTTGAAGTGGACGGTGCAGCTGGGAGGGGCTCCCCTTCCGGCTACACATTACCATTCTGGTGCAGGGTGCGCCGGCGCTGGCTGGACTGCATGCTCAGGACCAGGTACTGCCTCATAAACTCACTGAACCGCTTCTGGTTGGCCAGCTTCCGGGCCGACTTCCGGGCCCCAGTGAAGCCCCCAAACCTCTTCTGCAGCTGCTTCTGCTCCTTCTCTCCAACCTCATCCATGCCTGGCTCTGTCTCTTTCTGCTCTTGGAATAGGCTCCGGACACGGGGCATTCGCTTCAAATGTGTCTCGGAGGCTTTTGGCTGGTAAAGAGCAGATGCCAAGTGCTCTGGGTCTGCAGGACTGAGCTGCCAGGAGCCCCTGGCCATGACCTTGGTGCACGGGGTCCAGAGAGGGCTGGACAAGACCTTTCCTTCACACTCGAAGATACATATCTGCAAAGACAGAGGTAGGAGGAAGGGAGAAAGACGAGGGGGACATCTATTAATCCAAGGCAAGGAGGAGAGAAAGTCCCTCTGTACCAATGCAAGTACTTCTGAACAACTCCTAACTAAGTACTGTACAACAGTTTTACAGGTAATTCCTTAGGTTCATAGAATTTCAAAGTGGGAAAGAAAGAAAAAACTATCTGGCCCAGCGCCATCATTTCACAGGTGCAGAAACTTAGGGCTCAGAGATGTGAGTTTACCTTATCCCAGGTGACGCAGCTAGTTAATGCAGAATGTATGCACTAAAACTGTACCCCATTATAGACTTAGTCAGGTTTCTAGAGCCAAACTTAGCTCACGAGGGACACCCATAAAGAAGAATTTAGTTTTGTTCTTTTATCAGGATCAGGGGAGGTCAGGTTGGCTTCAGAAACTGGGATTGCCAAAGTACATAGTTCAATCTGCCTTGCTAATTTAAGGTCATCAGGAAAAGATCAATCCTATACTAATTTTTCAACCCTCCTCAACTTGTCACCTGTTGGGAACCATCCCGTCTGGTTTCAGGAACTGTAGCCTCACCGACAGGCGAGAGGGCCCTAAGCCTGGAGCTGAGCAAGGAGGCCTTGGGAAAATAGGCCACTGAGCAGACAAAACTTATGCCCCTGCCTCCTTCACATCACCCTGCTTGGCCCCAGAGGATGGCTGGTTAGTCAGTGACAGGTAAGGCCCCTCAATGGCAGGGGCAACCTAAGATAGACACAGTCATATCGGGGCCATCAGGGAAAGAGTTGGGGGATACAGAGAAAGGGCAAAAGACCCTCACCCTTTGACTTTGATATGGCCAGAGTCTTCATTCTGTCTGAAAGAAGTCTCCTTATCTCTTGGCTGCTCTGCTCCTCCTGCCTGGCTCAGTATTGAAACAATACTAGAGACAGCTCTAAACTGGATCAGGCAGTTGCCCCGGGGGAAATCAGGCCTAGAAGTAAATTACACTCTTTGAAGCTTGTTTTGTTTTTCCCGCAAAAGCTATGATGACCAGCTCATGCTGGGAAGGAAATTTACATTATTCACAGACTTTGACCTTAAACCATTTGGCGCTCTTATGTTTACTCATCCCGTCTTTGACCCATGTAAATCAGTGTGTTCCTGCCATTTGTTTTTGTCAAAACATCATCTATTCTCTGTAAACATTAACATACTGATGTAATGAGATCACCTGTACATTCCTACTACCTAGCCCCCACTGATAATCCTTTCAATAAAAGTCATTGGACACAGGGGCTCAGGACATTGTCCACTAGAGGGAATTGCCACCCCCTTTCCCTAGCAGACTGAGAAAAGTGTCTGGAACGGCTTAGTCTTATTTCCCCATCCGTGATGACCCGGAGCGTCTCTGCGGGACCAGAACCCTGCTCCACCTCAGTCATCACTATCTGTGCATCATTTATAAAAATGAAGGTTAAAGTCCTTTGGAATGTAGGCATGTTGGGGTTCTAGGTGGGGAAGAGGGACCATCAGATATAATCCAGTAGACCCACTGGGCTCCTGGAATCTTCTAGTGCTGCCCTGCTTCTCCAGGTGTCTCCACTTCTCACCTGGATCAGCAGCCTAACCAGGATGTTTCCCCGACTCCTCCCAACAGGTCCTGGCCTTGCCCACACTCTTCCATGTTCCTGTCTCCCATTGGGTCTCCTGGAAACCTCTGCCTCCAACTTTGCTTCTTATTTGCTGTTTTGGCTTCAGCCCAAATTCTCTCTGTGTCTCTGGCCTTAGCCAGATGGAAATCTCACTTCCCTGTGACCTCGCCATCATGGTCTGCAGGAGGCTATAGAGCTTTTCATCAAAACTTGGAGCTCTTGCCTGACTTGCAGGGCACCTGTTTGAGCAGGTGCGGGATATCAGGATACTGCTGGCTGTGCCCTGTTGTCCATATCTGGGGAGCAAAAACACTCACCCAGGTGCTCAGAGTGGCGCTGATACCTCTGTGGGCAAAGGTTTCCAACATGATCCCTAGCCAAGGAATGAGATGTGCAGGCAGCTTAGATGACACACGTCACAGGCCATCCCACCGAACCCTAAAAGCTTCTTCAATCCTACTTCTTCCACATGTTTTTGCCACCTCTGACCGTTACTGCCTTTTGTTGCCGTTTGGTCTCTCAGTGTACTTGTGCCTCTCCGAATGGCACCTAACCGCCCACCCCTCCCACCTCCAGTTCACTCAGGTTTAGAACCCTGGGCATATCTTCAGTGTCTCCCTTCTCACAAACCCCATTGCCCCATCTGATCAGTATATAGGTTTGTCCTCCCTCTCATTCCTTCTCCCTAAGGGCCTCTTCAGGTGCAGTGGCTTCCTAACCGAGTTCGCCATCTCTGATCTTTACTGCTCTGATCCATTTCCTACCGCTGGCGAAACAGTCTTCCTGGAGCAGGGATCAAATCACATCATTGCCTGTCCACAATTGTCCAATATTTTCTCTTTGTCCATAAATATAACTTCAAACTCCTGAGCAGAGCATTCAAGCCCCCTCGCTGTCTGGTCCCAGTCCATCTTTTGGCTTATGGGGCAGTTCCTAGTGCCTCACCTAGGCTCAAGCTCCTCTCCCCAGCCCCAACTTCCATGCCTTTTCTCAGTCTGTTCCCTCTGATGGAATGATCTCTCTCCGTCCATCTCTGTGGCCAGCCAGGCTCTGGTGCCACTGCTCTATGACACCTTCTTCTGGCTCCCTGGCCAGAATTGCCCTCTTCTGCCTCGGTGCTTCCACAGAACTTGGTATTGCTCTTGTGGAAACTTGAATGCTTAATATTATTGCAATATATTACAAGGCAGAATATGACTCATTGGGGACACTATCTTACTCATGTTTGAATCCTTTAAGGAGTCTTTTCCATCTAGTAAATGGTAGGGTTTCACTAGAGGTTTATTGCCCTGAACTGAATTAATCAATAAGCCTCTTTATGTTTAGCTAAGCATGAAAAAGGAAAAAAAAATATAAAAGAAAAGAAAAGAAAAAAGACAAGAAAGAGAGTCACTGGAAGGCCAGGAGTTGCAGCTGGTAGCAACCAGAATTGGAACCCCAGCATTTAGTGTAGGCTTCTGATAAGAGTATTTTGTCACTCTGTTGCAACTCTTTGTTTACCTCATTACTTGTGTGTTGCAGTAGATCAGAGTTCCTAACCTTTTTTGGGTCATGGACTTTTGAGAGTCTAATGAAATCTATGAACTCATCCTTTCACCATATAAATGCACACTCATGTCGAATTTGCATAAAATTTTAGAAGGTTCATTGACCTTCCAAAGCCTACCATAGAATCCAGGGTCGGGACCTCTTCCTGTGTAAGCTGTGCCGTAGGGAGAGCCTGTGTGCTTTCAGGCATCTAATATCTGGGATACAAAGTGGAGCCCCTAGTGAGGTTGAGAGATGGAAAGAGACAATAGGAGAAAGGAGGGGATCTGCAGGTGAAGTCACCCAGTGGCCACACTGGGAAGTGGTCCCAACCCTTCTTGTACATCAGCGAAGCATTGCATAGAAGGCTATCTCCAGGAGGAACCCTCAGCAGCACCTGGTCCAATAAGTCCCACACCCGGGTGTGAATCCATTCATCAACAGAACTTGAAAAACTGCTGAATTTCAAAACCCAGTTAAATTCCTGAGGAATAGAACCGGGGCTTGAATTTAGGTAATTCTGAAGTTTGCGAAGGTTTGGAAACCACTGATGTTGTCCATGTTCACAAGTTACAATAAGATTCAGTAATGTGTCCAAAACTGCACTGTTAGATAACAGTATAACCTGAACGAGGACATATATCTCGAGTCCCATTCCAGGACTTCTCCTACTCAGCGGTGTGCTTGCAATATGAATTGATAGAAATGAAAGGGAGAATAGGATCCTATGAGACCAAAAGGTAAAGTTCTGATGGGAAAATGGCTTATTTTCAAATTGTTCAACCAGAAAGGAGAAAGACAGAATCCGTTAGGAATGCCACTCTCCTTCACTGGGAAGGAGTCCAAGGAGCACATTTTGCCAAGCCCACATGCTAGCCAGAGGTGGCGATGTTGGCACCTACTGATACTCAAGCCATGGTTTTTTGAGCATGTGTTTTCCATTAGCTTTTCTTTAGAGAAGCTGGCAGAAGTAAGACATGGTCAGCGCCAACTCAGCGTAGATACCTAGAGAAACTTCTTTCATGCCACAATGCCTCTGGGTGTGAAAGAAAGAGAGGCAACTTCCACAGAGAGGAGGGTGGATGTTGGAACAATGGTATCTGCAAACTTGAGTGTTCTGTAAGAATTGCTACTTGGGTTTGTTAGGATGCAAATGCTTTGCTTATAGACCTGGAGATTTTGAGTCAGTAAGCTGAGGGTGGGGCCCAGGAATTTTCACTTTTTGCAAGCACTCCAGGTGATTGCTGGACCTTAGAAGGCTGGACCTGAGGAGGGAGAAGCCATCAGGGAAGATGGGGGTCAGAGCTTCCATCAGAGATAGGCTCATGTGGGTCTGTCCTTAACCTGCTCCCAAAACACTTTGAAGAAAAGCAAATAGAATCAATTTGTAACATGTTCTTTCAGATCATAATCCCCTTGGGTCATGGGCCTCAACTGCAGGAGGTTTTGCCCTCTGCCCCTCCCAGGGACATGTGGCAATTCCTGGAGATATTTTTAGTTGTCACATGGAGGATGGGTAGCGGGGGACGCTATTGTTATCTGTGGGTAGAGCCCAGGGGTGCTGCTAACCATCCCGCAGCACACAGGACAGCCCCCTCTGCCCCCAGCAAATGGTTATCCAGCCTTAACTTCCCTCAGTGGAGTCTCAGAGTCTGAGAAACCGTACTCCGCAGAGTGGAGGGGAAAGCAGGAAAGCGTGGGTAGCACTTGAAAAGCCAGCAGGAGTGTAGAATTTTAACATTGAAATGGGTCTTGGGGCCCACCTGGTCCAGTCCTCACAGCCCCAAATGCATGTGGAATTGTTCTTGTACCTTCCATTTACAGGAAAAGGTGGAAGTTGTTAAACCTAAAGGCTATTAGATCTTCTGCAAGTCCCTGGGGTTTCTAAACCCAGATGGTAATTAGATTGTTTGTGTCAATCAGAGAAAATGGAATTCTAGGATCAAACCAGATGCATAGCCCTTACCAAGACTTGTCATATTGTTAGATGAATTAGGTACTAACAAAATCATCTCAACTCATGATTTAGGAGAAGGTTTTTGGCAAATGTGGGGAACCCAAATTCACAACAGCATTTGTAGCACCAGATGGGCATCGGAGCTCAATGCCGAACCGTCTGGTCTGCGGTGCCCACCAGCCTCTTTCCAGAGATGGGTTAATAGTCTATTAAGTGAGCTGGATGCATTTTCACAGCCCACACTGATGACATTGCTATATTAAGCCAGAGTGTGGGGGAGCATCTGGAAAGTCTCAGACTGATGCCAAATTGATCTGTGAAGCTGCACATGTGGGGAAACTGAGCAAAGGGCCATGTCTGAGACCACAGACTGGGGAACAGGCACACGAGCCCATTCGAAGGAGAAGAAGAGGCTCATTTAGGTTGTCAGGTTTCTGTCAGTAAAGAATCAAACCACTTCTGACCAAGACATATTTGGGGGCCATTTGCTTTAGGAGGTTCTGCTAGAATATCTGAGGGCTGACTGTGGCAGGCCAGCAGAATAGTGCAAGAGAAAAACATAGAAGAGGCTCCTACTACAAATCAATTACTAAGGGTTTTCATGTAATGAAGATAGAAAGCACCCCAAAAATTTAAGATGCTACAGAGACATGGAAACATGCTCTAAATTCTTCATTGGTGTTGAAAGACAACAATGTAAAAACTGCAGCATCTGTAGTGGATGCACCTATTAGGAGACTGAAGGTCTTACAGTTTTACAATTTCCATGGGACATGTGTATTGAGGAATGCACTGGGCCACATGCTGGGCTATGTGTGGCATCCCCAGAGCCACCAGCGAAGAAAGCTCACATCTATGGTGAGAGATAGACTTGCAAATAACTTCAGAGCACAAGGGAGGAAGCAGCTGGCTCTACTGTGGGCCAGTGAAGAATCAGCAAAGTGTTCTCATAAGAGGTGAAACTTAATCAGAGTTTGCTTTTTAAAAAATCCTCACCAGAGGTCATATCCATGGACTTAGAGAGGAAAGGGAAGAGAGAGAGAGAGAGAGAGAGAGAGAGAGAGAGAGAGAGAGAGAGAGAGAAACATGGATGTAAGAAACATCTATCGGTTGCCTCCTTCATGTGCCCCAACCGGGGATTGAACGCAACCTAGGTGTGTGTCCTGACCTGGAATCAAACCCAAAAACCCTGGTGCATGGGTCGATGCTCCAACCAACTGACCCACCCAGCCAGGGCTCCATCAGAGTTTTGAAGCACAAAAGCAGGGAGAGGCATGTTTAAGATGGGAGGGCCAGTTCCTGGAGCCAGGGGAAGGCAGGGAAAGGAAGGCGGGACTTCCAGAAAATGTGGCAAGTGATTGGAGCCCAGCAGAGACCAGGTGTGGGGTGTACCTTTGAGAGTTACCTGCGGCCTGGGAAGAGCCTAAGGCCTGGACACAGGGATGGCGTCTCAGAGGGAGAGAGTACATGAAGGGAAGAAGCAGAGAATCTTGGTAGTCACCATGTTTTGGAGCGGGGCGGGGGGCGGGGGAGAGGACCAGGAACCCCACAACAGGCAGAAACACAAGAGTCAGAGGAGGGGAGAACACTGGGCAAGTTCACCAAGAGGACAAGGTGTGGAGAGCCTACCAACCAGCCTGTGGGTTCCATGCTTAGGAGTTACTGGTGGTCCTGAGAGAGCAGCTGAGAGTGACGAGTGACACAGCAGCAAGGGGGCCTGAGGCGCCATCTTTCAGAAAAATGACAACGAAGGGAAGGAAAGAGCAGGTGGAGAGGGGAAGAAAGAAGATCACCCAGTAGGGAAATCAGTGGTGCAACAGAAGGAAGAAGAGAAAGGGCAGGAGCCCAGATGGGAGGCAGGTCCCCGGACCGCAGAAAGGAGGCTGGAGAGAGTTTGTACTTGCTGGCTGCTGTCTTCCCGTACAGGGCATTCTAAGGTCATGGCGTCCGAGGGGGTGGGAACGCACCTTAGTGTTTCACAATCAGGTGTGGTGTTTGTTAGAAGGAGATCACATCACCTATGAATAATTGACCTGGTAAAAAATACATTAGAGCAGAGTCTGGGTTATCCTTATGGTCAAGAGCCTAATGTTTTCTTCTACTGTAAAATACACGTAACACTAAATTTACTCTCTTAACCGCTTTTAAGTGTACATTCCATTGTCTTCAGTACAGTCACAATGTTGTGCCATTGTCACCTCCATCCATCGCCAGGACTTTTCTATCTTCCCACCCTGAAACGCCGCACGCAGCAAATCCCTACTCCCCATTTCCCCCAGCCCTGGCAACCACTTTTCTACTTTTCCTCTCTATGAATTTGACCACCATAAGTAGAATCCTTTTGTGTCTGGCTCTTTTCGCTTAGCATAATGTCCTCAAGGTTCATCCATGTTGTTACACGTGTCCTTTTTAAGGCTGAATTATAGTCCACCGTGCGTACACGTGTGTTAATCCATTCATTATTGATAGGCACTTGGGCTGTGCCCACCTTCAGGAGGCTGTGACTAATGCCGCCATAGACATGGGTGTGTCAACGTCTGTTGAGACCTAGTGCTCTTTTGAGTGGGAGATAAAGGGTTGCAGTTAAGCTGGTGATTCAGGAATCATGTAACCTTCAGGCTGGTCTAGGCTGAGAACCTTCACAGTGTGGCAGTTAGGAGATTAATGCTTCATCAACTCCTTCACTGGTTTACATGCAAACTAGTGGTCTCCTCTGTTTACTAAGACCAAGGGAAAGTGTTTTTTGAACTTCTCAGGACTGCACAGAAAAGATAGGAGGGCCTTCCATGCTCTAGCCAAACTCTAGCCAAACTCAGCTTTTCTCAGTTCCTTAAATGCCACACCCCTCCCTCCTGTAGACATTTGCATATGCCCCTCCTACTTGCCCCGAGGCCTTCCTTTGTTACCTGGGGCCCACTCTCTGCTTCTTCACCTCCATTCATCTTTAAGTCTCCTTAGCAGGGGTGTCCAACCCCGGCCCATGGTCTGCAAGAGGCCCAGAATGGCTATGAATGAGACCTAACACAAAATTGTAAATTTACTTAAAACATGAGATTTTTTTTGGTGATTCTGTGTTGCAATGTATTTAATGTGTGGCCCAAGCCAGCTCTTCTTCCAGTGTGGCCCAGAGATGCTAAAAGGTTGGACACCCCTGCCTCAGACACTTCAGTTCCTCCAAAAGCCCCCTCTGGCCCTCCAGACAAGGCTGGGGTCCACTGCTCTGTGTCTCCCCAACACCCAGTAATTACTCTCTCGTGGAGGGTTTGTGGCATTTTCTCTCCCATTGAGATTTCTCTCACTGGTTACAAACTCCATGCATCTGCTCACCTTGGGATCCCTTGTCTTAGAAAAAGCGTGGTGGGCCCAGATGAACTTTGAGCAGGTTATCTAGGAATGCTTTTGTGATGCAGTAGCTATTACTGTTTGGAAGACAGGCTTGGAAACCCTGTGAGCCGGGGTGGGAAGAGCTGGGTCTTTGGCCTGCTGGGGCTGTGTCTGCTCGTCACTAGTGCCTGTGCCACTGGAGCACTTGGTTTCTACATTCATACACTTGCCTAAGGGTAGTAGTTACTTTTGGTTGATTTTAAAGGTTGAGGGGTTTGAAACAAGGCATATTTTCAATGGAGCTTATGTTACAAGGAAAAAAAATAATTGAGTTACTTTGGGTTTAATAGGAGAGGAGTAACTATTTAGATGGAAATAGAAGCCCTGGAGAAAGCAGCTTATTTAATATAAAGAAATTTCATGTTGGATTTGCATTTCAAATTCAAAATTTAAAACATGGGAGAGCATTTGAGGTGTTCACTGTGGAGTTATTGGTAATATCAAAAATGAAGCAGAGCATACACGTTCAACTGGAGAGGGGATGGTTAAAACATTATACTGTATTCACAGAGAAATAACTTAATGTTCAATAACACGGGAAACTCATCCTGGTATAACATAGCAAGTGAAAACACTAGGATTCTTCCTCTGACTGGTGGGATTAAATGTGATTTTAATTTTCTCTTTTTGAACTTCTCTCATTTGCCAGACTCTCTAAAAGGTGTATGCACTGTTTTAATACAGGAACAAAATGGCAGCACGGGCAGGCCTTTCTCTGAAGGCAGTAAAGTGGAAAGCCGACAGGGCTGGCCTCGGGCCAGGCCTCAGCTTCTCCTGGGTCTGCTCAGGAGGAGGCGGGATGGGGGGGAGGAGCCACACTCCTAGACCTACCTCCAGGCTGAAGCTGTCCAGGGCCGGGCGCAGCTTCTCTCTGCAGGTCAGACAGTCCTTCTGACAGCTGCCTGACGCGCTGGAGAAGAGGCTGAGCAGCAGGAGGTCACAAAGCAGGGTTTTCATGGTGCAGGAGCAGCAGGCAGGATGCTGAAACACAAGGGAAGATGGGAATCATTTAGAACAGCCATTCGGTGGGGGCAGAAGCAGCTGAGGACCCTCACACATGGGAAGCAGGAAAGACACTTCAGAGGGGACAGTGCCAGGGCCTGAGATTCACCTCCCTGTAGGGAGGGGATGGACATGGGCACAGGGCGTCCGCTCCTGCCGGCCAGGCCTGATGTTCCTGCCGGGGCTGCTGCCCGGGCTGTGGGGAGAGGACCGCTGGGTTCCAGCCACCCAGTTGACCTCCATGTGCGTGAGCACTTTCAGGGAGCCAACGGCTTCCCTTTGCAGCTTAGCTGTGTGTGACCTTAAGACAACCTCTCCACAGCTCAGTTTTCATAGCTATGAAAGGGGAGCATAGTCACGTGCCACATAACGATGTTTCAGTCAACAATGGGCCACAGCTATGATGGTGGTTCTATAAGATTATAATGGAGCTGAAAAATTTCTGTCACCTAGCGATGTGGTAGCATCACAGTACAACACTTGTGTGTGTGGCGGTGCTGGGGCAAACGAACCTGCTGCGCCGCCGGTCTTATAAAAGGATATAGTACATACAGTAATGTACAGTACCTAATACTTGATAATGGTAATAAAAGACTAAGTTACTGGTTTATGCATTTACTATTCTATACTTTTTATCATTATTTTAGTGTGCACTCTTTCTACTTATAAAACAGTGTGCTACAAAACAGTACGCGGTGTTACCCTGCAGCAGCCTATACACCCAGTGTTTATATCTCTTGACTCCATTATTTCCTTTTACGCTTTATTTAATATCATGTTGTTTTGTACAATAACATGCTGTGCAGGCTTGTAGTCCAGACGCAATCAGCTCTCCCATACAGCCTAGGTGTGTAGTAGCTGTACCATCTAGGTTTGTGTAAGTGCACTGTATGGTGTTCACACAATCATGAAATGACCAAATGAGGCATTTCTTACAGTGTGTCTCTGTCATTAAGTCGTGCATGACTATAGTGGTACCTGCCTTGCCACAGGGCTATTGCAAAGATAAGAAAAGAACCGTAGAGCAGTTTTGGAAAGTGTCGTGCAAGAGTGAGATGTGTAAAACAGGAAATTTATGAACGACTCATGTGCTTCATCTCATTCTCCCCAGCCTTCCCTGCCTCAGCCAGGAATGCCCCACATCCCACAGTTGGCTTCTTCGGGAGGCTTCCGGCAGGTTCCTTGTCTGTTTCCCTGCTAGATGCGAGATCGCTCCCCGAACACAGGGCCAACGTGTTTGTTCACTTTGCTATTCTGTGCAAAGCACAGGACCAGGCAAGTGGAGCTATTCATTGCAAAATGAATGAAGAAACTATTCTAAGATGAGAGCCCCAGTGATTATTTGTTAGGTCAGAAGTTTACATTCCTTATGTTGGACTGCCTGAAAGATGTTTAGTTTTCCCTTTTCCTCTTTAAATTTATCCTGTGATGAATCCTTTTAAATCAAAAAGCTATTTCCTTGGACTGAATCATATTGGGCCCCTATAGAACCATCTTTACTTGGAGGGTTAAATGGAAAAGGGAACAAGAGGATTTTTCTGGAAATGTTGCAAGTGTTCTTGATTGAGGTGTAGGTCACAAGGGTGTAGACATTTGCCAACACTCATTGAATTTAAATTTAATTCTGTGCATTTCACTGTACATAAATTTCACCTTAATAAAGGGTTCAGTGTAGAAAAACAAAAATAATAACCTTTATTGCTTTTTCATCAGCCTATACCAGGAAAACATACAGAACTTGCTACTCGAATGCAGTCTGCACACCAGCAGCATTAGCATCACCTGGGAGCTTGTTAGAAATGCAGACTCTCAGGCCCCTCCCTGGAACCACTGAATATGGACCCGCAGTTTTAGCAAGTCTTAGGAGATTCATACGCACACTAAAGTTTGGGAAGCACTGGTAGAATATGGATGTGAAGTGGAGCAAGTCAATAGGCAGGACCTTGCTGTTGAAATCACCCAATGGCAGCTCATCTTGTGCATCATCCAAGCATTTCATACCAAGAGGATGTTGACTCAAAGATGCTCAATACTGTTTAAGTCAAAGAAGTGACATGTGAGATGGGTTTTGAATGATGAGTAAGTTTGCCAAGAGGACGAAGAAGAGGGCATTTGAGAGACGCAGGAAATGCTCCTTTCACAGGCGAGGAGGAGTCGGGAACATGGCCAGTGAGGGGCTGGTGAGCAGGCTGGTGTGCAGGGCCACCTGCCCTTGCTCCTGGGAAGCACCTGCTGTAAGAGAGGCTCTGTCCACAGGGAGCAGGCTCGTGTTTGTTACCCTAAAGGGTGTGAGCTTTCCACTGGGTGATGGGATGTCCCGGGCTCATGATTAATGAGCACGAACATCTACACAAATGAATAAATCTCAAATGCAGTTTTTCTTCTCTATCCCAAGGATGAGATTTATTGCCTTGGTTATTGCGATAGCCTCCTACTTTGTCTAATGGTCTACCCTCCTACCAAACCATCTTCAAATCTGATGACGTTACTGAATGCTTAAAGTGATCCTCTAACTCCTGTTGGGACTTAGTGCCCCTGCTGACCCTTCTTGATCTTCGTCTCCTGTTACTCACTATTGTACCTCCTCTGCAGTGGCAGTGAGTCACGAGAGTTCCTGACTGCCAGATACTTAATCGCTTTCTGTCTTGGTGCCTTCTCTTCCTTCTACCCAGAATGTATGTCTCCAACTCATACTTCTCACACACCTCCAGAATTATCCCCTCGGGCAAGCCATCTCCCTCCCCTGGTGGGAGGTACACACATCTCCTCTGCTGCTATGGTGTCGCCAAGTGGCACATCAGAGTGGGAAGGAAGGGAGCCTCAGGGGCCTGTCTGACAGGCACCGCGGACCTGTGTCGCAGAGTTGTGACTAGCGTTTTTCCCATCAGCTCATCCCTGCAGACTTCTGGGTTTGGATCCCAGGTCTGCATCTCAACCTCTCCTATGCAAAAATGGGACAATAATAGGATCTACTGCACATGACAACTAACGGGGTTAACGTTTGTAAGCAGTTACGGTAGCATCTAGCATATAACAAGTGCTATAAAAAACTTAGAAAACAGAGAGCCCAGCACATACCCTTCCCCCCATAATGAATGCTCTTACTGCCTCTTGCAGGGCACGTACCACGCTACACTGTAAGTTTAGATACGTGTGTGTGTTTCTCGACTGTCCTGCGACTTCCTGAAGGGCAAGGATCAGGTTCCATGGTTTTCCATTTCCAGCATTCAGATAGGGCAAGGGACTTAGGTGCTCAAAAAAAGTGTGATAAATGGCCGTAGAGTATCTCAGGAACCCTCTCTTCACCAAGGCAGGGTTGGGGAGTGTCTGGGAATCTGCCTCATTGGGGGCCGCTTCAGCGCCCAGCATCACAGACAATGTGTCTATTAACTAAGTGTTCAGTTTGAGGAGTGGGAACTAGTTTTGTTCCAGAGCAGTGCAATATGCCACCCTAAGCTGGAAATCCATGCACATTTTGGTAGAAGACTGGTTACAAATGGCAGCAAGGAACGGTTGGAATAATGTTATATGCTGAGTTCGTATGGGTCACATAGGTGTCAGCAGGCAAGCCCATCACCACTTACAGGTTCTTTTGAAGAGAAAGTGTTTTTTTGAGTTCTAAACAGCCACCATATAAGAAAATCTCTTAAGCTAAGGACTGCTTCAATACATTTTTGTTTAATTTAAGAACTGCCTTTACATTTCTTGTTCTAAATTTCAGTCTTTCTCGTCAGGAGATATTTTCGTAGAATTTGTCCAGAATGGCGTGGCTGTGCCTGGCATGGCCACATGATGGCAGCACCTGCACGTCCCAGAAGAAAGGGAGGTTCAGAGCAAGGGGACTGCTTCCTTTCTTAGCACAAAATTGCAGTACAGAACGTCTGCACAGGCTGAGCTGATAAGTTGCGACAGATGTTAATAAAATGCTCTCCAGCTGAGTCTTTTCATGAACTGCATTAACTGCGGCAACTTGCACATCCAGGCAATGTTTGATGGATTGGCTGATACCCGTTATCTCAAATTCTGGATAAATGGGTTTTCGGGTGAGGTGCAGAAAGAAGACAGCTCCTGGGACGTGGAGCGCGCGCTCCATTTGGTAGCCTTCCTGCATGTAAAAGGCAGGCCTTCTGTGGTTTGGCACTTGGGTGACCTTATTAAGTCTACCTGGCATTAGCCTGGCCCTCCCTGCTGGCCCACCTCTCTTTCAGTCTCCCACCCCCTATCCCACCTCTGTGTCCCTCCCCCCACTTTCAGCAAGTGACTCTACCTATTATTAAACAATTATCCCTTCTCAGTGCTATTCATCCTCTTCTAAAATTCAAAGGATCTTTAAAATGGGAGTGACCAGTCCTGTCTCACAGGTGGTTTGTGGTATTTAAATGAGATTGATATCCATGAAAGCTCAAAATATATGTAATTTTCCTTAGAAAAGGGGCAATATTTTGTATTTTTGGTATTTCTCAACACCTTGTATGAGGTGTTCTAGGTTAAGTTAGATATTGAACTTTATTAAAAGCTCAATAGACATTTTCAGTTCTTGAGAAGGCTTGACAACAGGTATTTGCTTTTTGTAGCTCTGTACATAAGTTAATGCCAGTTAAATGAAGGCGAGCAATTAGTTAATTCATGAGTTATATTTATGGTTAATCTTTACCTTTTGTGACTGTGACTTTGGGTGAGTTATTTCTCCACTGGGAGCTTCATTCTGCTCAACTACAAAGTGGGGATAACAACAGGATTTATTTTTGTTGTTTTAATTGTACAATAGTAACCAGTAAAAAAGTTTACCTAAATATATTTGAATTTTACATGGTTTGTATTTCATTTGGTAAACCAAGCTCAGCCAACACTTTTATGTGGTGATACTCTTATATTTAGAGATCTGGACATCTCGTATTGAATAAAGAAATGTTTAATTACCTTTTAATTTGGTAATGACACTCCACAAATTTAACTGTGCTTCACTCTTTATAAAGA